GAGAGAGAGAGAGGGCGAATGTGTGTGTTTTAATGTTTGCATGTTCCTAGTTGTTTTGAATTCTTGTGTCGAGTGGCAAGTTTCTCTCTTTTAGGAGAGTGGGGGAGGTGTTTGCTTTTCTGGTGTTTAGTTTTCCTTACATGGGGAGCAAAACTATCTATTTACTCCCTTGAGAATTTTATAGAGATGAGACTTCGCAATGCGCTTTAAAAAATTACCAATGAGTACTGGATGAAAGAAAAAACAATTAAATTCTTAAAATCTTTAGATCTAATTGTTAAACAGTCACTGGGACCTTTTTTTTTTATTTTTTCCACGCTTATATAACAGGTATAGGTATAATTTTTTTTGGTGGTCTCTACTTTGAGGACATAACATCACATGTTCTGGTTTTCAAAGTACCCCTCGATGAATTTTCTGTTCTATATAAAACAGTGAATATAAGAAATGAGATTGTATACAATGAGATCATTTACTCCATTGACCCCTAATGGGAGGTCACAATTACTTATAATCATCCAATCCGATGTGAAATGCGTTTGTGTTTGTGTTTCTCCTCGTATCTTAGAGGGATGGCCGTGGTCGACGAGAAAAAGCCCTACAAGCTCCGCCTCCTCATCGAGGACTACCCTTACGCAGTCGATGGCCTCGAGATATGGGACGCCATCTCCACCTGGGTCCAGGAATACTGCGCCATTTACTACCCATCAGACACTGTTGTCGCCTCAGACACTGAGCTCCAGGCCTGGTGGACCGAGGTGCGCAATGTAGGCCACGGCGACAAGCGAAAAGAGCCATGGTGGCCCGAAATGAGAACCATTCATGAACTCACTGACACCATAACCACCATGATCTGGGTTGCCTCTGCTCTTCATGCTGCGGTAAATTATGGTCAATATCCCTATGCAGGATACATGCCCAACCGCCCCACCATAAGCCGACGCTTCATGCCTGAACCAGGGACTGCGGACTACGAGAAACTCGAGTCGGACCCTGATGGGTACTTTTTGAGTACCGTTACAAACCAGCGGCTAACACTTCTGGGAGTTTCCTTGATCGAGATACTGTCAAGGCATTCGTCCGATGAGCTGTACTTGGGCCAGAGGGAGTCTCCCGAATGGTCGGCAAATGAGCAGGCGCTGGCCGCCTTCGAGAGGTTCGGGAAGAGGCTGGAGGAGATCGAGCGGCTGATCACGACAAGGAACGCAGATCACCGGCTGAGGAACCGGTTAGGGTCCGTCAGGGTGCCCTATACACTCCTCTACCCCAGTACGTCTGATATCGGCACCCTCGGGGGGCTCACCGGAAGAGGCATACCCAACAGTATCTCCATTTAGGACCACAAACAAACACACACACTCTCTCTTTTCCTCATACGACGTCTCTTAACTTCATCCCTTTGCCAATACTCCTTGAATCCTATTCTTATCTATTTGTTTATTTTATTTGGGCATCTAAAGGGTTGTGTTATGTAAAGTTGTAAACCTTTTGAATGATCTTTTATTTAATGATTGATTGTTGCGTGTTTGGAAAACGTTTCCCTTCGCATGTCATTTATTTCATTTTGGAAAAATTACAAATGGAGACCTTTTGCATTTAATAAAACTCAACGAAGAATCGGGATTCATGTTGCCGACCCAATTAATTGAAAAAAAAAATGAAAATGACAATAATGACATATGAACAGCTATTCAATACATATGGGGAAATTTTTGTTGAAAATAACACTTCCTAAAATATTACAAAATGTCTAAGAAATATAATTTGTGTATTATCATGATTCTTAAAAGTATTTATCATATTTTGGGATAATTTTATTAAGGAAATTATAAATGTTTCTCATGCACCCGTGTTTTTCATCTCTTGAAATTTCATCTCATTTGATCATGGATTGAGTAATATGGAGCAAAACGTGTCCGTAGGACATCTTGGATCTTGCCGTCTTTTTGGCATGCCAATAGTGCATAACACTGTAAATGAATATTATGGTCGCCACCAGTGTTCCTTCAAAGATCCTTTTGAAGAAGGTATCAAACGGCATTGAATTATGTGAAAGTTGGGGCATAAGCCTTTTAGGGGCAGATTCATCATCTCACCATATTTTAATCTCATTAGATTGTTGAGTTTATATGACCTTTAAAGGCCTTATGAGTGTGTAATGCAAAACATTTACTATAGTGGAACATAAACTCAGTGGGAGTGTAATCCCTCGAAAACCATACTAAGCAAATGATATTTGCAGATAACGGACTGTGCTTGACGATCTAGGCCAGTCGATTGGAAAACCTAAGGTACCTAAGCATAAAAATAAACCGAGAAGGGTTTTTAGGTTAGTCCTTGATGAGGTCGGAGCTTATGCCTAGATGAGTGAGCCGAAGGACTGTGTGACCCTTGTGTTTGATGGTAGGCCTACAGAGACGGGGGCCAAAACCTCATCCTTGTTCCATCACACGGCATGCATATAGATAGATCATTCGGGAAAACTAGATATCCACCTTTAAGTAAAACATATGCATGTCTGAGAGAAACCCCTATAAGCCATAGAGCTGTAGTCGCATTAGGTCGTGATGACATTAATTTGTCTCTAGGAAAGGACCTGTAATCCACAGACTGGGATTGCGACTCCTTAGCTCATTGACCAAACTTTGGTGACCCGCTAATGAGCCCCTGCTTGGACTGTGGGTCATGAAAAATACTGGGTCTGTTTGATAAAGCAAGTGTGGTCTGTAGTTAACAGTTGACGGTGGAGTACCCCGTGATCGTTGATTGAAATCCTGAACCATATAGCTCCACTTCCCATCATAATAATTTAATTGTGTTGATTTTATTATTAAATTGTTTTAGATTTATTATTTGAATTTTTGTAATTCATTTGATATTTTATTTCTTATTTTGGACTTTTAAAAATGAAGATATTAATTTACAACTGTATAATGTTTTAAAATTTATTTTGTTCAAATTTTAAAATATTTATTAAAAAATAATACATGAGAGGCCCATAGTGCACATGGGCCTATCATGGAGGTATTAGGTGGGCCCCACATGCCATATATGGGTGACACGCCCCACCCTTGGAGCATGTGGTCAAACATTGATTAGGAAATATTGACCATATCTTATCTTGATTATTGAAGGAATATCTTGACTTAATATTATTGAAATATTTTTATAGAAAATATGAGATGGAATATGCAATTTATGGTATGCACTATATCTTTAATGGATTTAATTTATTTAAATATATTGATGGGAAAATGGTATAAGAAAATGGAGATAATGGTTCATGCACTTTCCATAATGTTGATGACCCATCTATGGAATGGATGGCTCAGATCTCTCACTCCACAAGTCACTTTGATCAACGGTCCATATTCAATCTCAAGAAAGAGGCAAACTATGAGAAACCCTAAAGAAACCCTAGACCTAAATTTCACTATAAATAGGGGTCTTCTCCCCCATCTCAACACACATCTCTCTCTCCCATAATCTCTCTCTCTCTTCCCTAGGGCCACACCCTCTCTCTACTCTCTCTCTCTCTCTCTCTACCTAAACGGACCGTAGGGACTCTTCCTCTCTCAAGATCTAATCTAAGGGTTGGGAAAATTAAGGTTTGAGCTTTATTATTTTGGAGTTAGGGTTTTGTAGAGATTTAAGGGTTGTTACCTAGTTTAGCCGAAATTAGCTTTCCCGGTTCGAGATTGAAGCTGGATCGTTGATCCTGCGCTATTGGATGTGGTGACTCGGTGTGGGGTGTAAAAAGCCCGATTGAAGTAATCTTCGACATATTTTTTTTTAATTGTTTGTTCTTTTATTTTATATTCTCAAGCACAATATTAGGTTGTATGAATGGCATCAAGTAGTTGAGATTTATTTTATTGATGTGTTATTTATTTTTGGAATTTCTATTCTTTATAATAAGACCACATGTGAGTGATCTTGTTGCTAAAATTATAAGGAGTGATTATTATTAAAAAAAAAAATTATATTTCTCCGACATAAAATTACTTAGGTCTTTCTTTCACAAATGTATTTGATGGGGGTTGCTTTGTATTCAACTTGCTTTTTGGCCATGAATGGTGCATTGTTCGTGGTCTCCAACTTTGATATCCCATTTCTGAGAAACCGATGATTTTTAGAGTATCTTGAAGATCTCTTCAATTAAACTTTGACCCATTTTGATGACCTTATGAGCCTTTTTGGTTAGGATTTGACCCATCTTCCTTAATGACCGTCCATGTGATAGTTTCAAACCCATGATTTTAACCAGGAGGTCATGTTCCACATTTTAAGGTTTTGGCAGGTGAAATGAGGTCCCAATGTTCGCCCCTAGGTTTCAAGCCCACGTTATCGGAATTGGATGGTCATAGTAGAGTCCAATCCCTTCCTCCACATCTGAGGAGACTGGTTTGATGCCATGTTGTATGATTTGAGACTGAAATACACCTAAACGGTTTCAAAATAGTATACCAATTCTTTTATACTCTCAGTTTTTAATTTATAACTTTTTGTGCTCTAGAAAAATGTCTATTTCTCATTATTATTACAATTTTTCAAATTTTTTGTGAAGTATTAGATTGTCTTTATGTCACATTGTTTCTTTTTAACAATTTATAATTCTATGTACAAAATTTTATGCTTTAAGAGTGAGATAGTTCTCTAGGAAAAGTTTATATAAGGTGTCAACCTTATACTGTATAAACAAAATGCACCAAAAACTTTGAGATTTGTAGACATGGAAAAAAAAAAAGGGATTTATATTCTTAAAAATTGTTCATCTTCTAACACATTATCTGAAACGTCCATTTTCAAGATTTCTAAATGTTTATAGATATATTTGACCGTTATCATTTTTTAAACTTTAAATATTTTAATTATAAAAAATAAATATATTTCTATGATTATTGCACATAATACTCGAACATACGGTCGAACACCATGTACAATAAATTCCCACAATTATGGCGGGAAACAACAAGCTCCCGCAATAATTATCAAAAGTAATAGATTCCCGCAATTATTGGCATTGTTTTGAGGTCCTCATAGGAACCTCACTTGGTTCTTGCCATCTAGAAAGCAGGTTTGACAAACAAAAGAAGCTTGAGGATGTGGTACAATTATTGCGTAGGGTGGTCCCGCATGTGGTCGAAGATTTCTCTCCACTCAACGTACAATACAAAGTCTTGACCACATTGAAGTCGTGATGCATATAAACTTTTGGTTGATTTAATTAGAAATGATGGATTGGACGCATTCAAATGGATAAAGACAGCATATGCTACAGTTTCATGTAATACTCGTGCTTCAAATCTAACCAAGGGGGACCCCTTTTGACATCCAAAATCCATTGTATATCAAAGACCAAAAGCCCTTCCCAGCTTGCAAATAAAGTAAAGTGTATATATTTTTATCATGCGTATAACAAAGACAATGTATGCATAAAATAAAATAAATAAATAAATAAATGTAGAGAATTTATATATGCCACTCTCTCCCAGGCATCCAAACGGAATGGATAATTGAGATAGCTTGAATATAATATCACAAGTGAGCGACTGACCGTTTAATCTAGATCTGACATTTCAGAATATTTTATTCTTAACTCTTTTTACAAATTATATGAACGTGATATTTTTTTTTGAGTTGTCTGTTCAATGGGGCACCACTAAAAATCATCATCATCAATATAGCTTTTTACCAACTAATTAAGATCGGCTACACAAAAATAAATATGAAAAATCAAAAAATAAAATGATATTTGGGATATTTTGGTGCGAGCTTAAGAGAGGATTGGATGTCCAAATTGGTTTCAATAACATTTCTAAAAAACAATTAAAAATAAAAATAGTATTTTCACGTGATATTGTGATTGGGACCATCTTAGCGGTCTTTTTAAATCGAATGGTTGAGGCTGGGGTGGCACATATGAATTTTCTAATCCAAGTGGTGTATATAGAAAGCTTTCCCATACATAAAAAGAAATATTCATGCAACACCACCAAAGATTGCAAACATACAATCATACATTACGAAGAGCATGGACTGGTCTGAAGGGGTTACATGATATTCATACTTCATGCTCCATATGTGAAGCCAAACACAATGGACATAACAAATCAGCAACTCCTTCGATTCCAAATAAAGAAAACCAGGCATAGGGGTCACACACTAGACAAACTTCATGCTCCACTAGGGAAGGCTAAACAAAAGGCAAACACAAATTCTCGTATTCCTCTAATATTGATTCTATTGCCCCTTATTGAAAAAGGGATTGAAGATTCTAATGGGGTGGCAAATCAATGGATGTGCTCTAGGAAGAGTCAAACCTGGCCCTTCTTTCATCTCAATTCTATTACTACCTGCTTCAAGGCATATGTTACTTACACTAAAATCAAAGCAATGTATCAATGAAGCTAGGGTAGTTTGCATCACATGTAGGGCAAGAGAAGTACCAGGGCAACTCCTCAAAGGGCAAAAGTTGGAAATATTGCCCTCTAACACCCCCACTCTCTCCTATGAACCTCTCAGGCTTGAATT